GCATGAGCCACCGGCACTCAGCTACTAATTTTTTTTAATTCCCTTGTGGTTTTATTGACAGTGAAAATTAGAGCCAAGTATTGATGGTTCAAGTCTGTAATCCTAGATATTCAGGAGATGAGCTCCAGAGAGGGAGGTCGGAATCCAGCCTGGGCAGGAAAGTCTGCGAGACTCTTATCCCCAAATAACCACAAAAATGTCAAAAGTGGAGCTGTGGTTCAAGTGGGAGAGCACTAGCCTTGAGCACAAAAGCTCAAGAGACAGCATTCAGGCCCTGGGTAAAAGCCCCACGAATGGCATTAAAAAAGCAGTGAAATTCAAAAAAATAAACTATTGAACAAAGAAGAGGTACTGCTGTTTAAATATGGAAGAAATACAAGGAAAACATGATACTTGTCCTTTCCTGGTTTTGTTAGCAATGAAAGGCGAGCATTTGCCATTCAAGTCGTTTAAATAAGGATACAGGTGGACCCGTTGCAACAACGAGAAGTAAAAGTTGTCATGTGGAAAACGAACTTTACAACTTTGGTGGGGGGAGGGGATGGATTGGGCGGGGGGACGGGGGAGGCTGGGAAGGGATGGGAAGGGGAAACAAAGGAGGAGGCTACAATGCTTGATAAGAAATGCACTCATTACCTTGCCCATGTAATTGTAACCCCTCTGTACAGTATTTTCACAATAAAAAAAATAAATATTAAAAAAAATGAAAGTATCTTATAAAACAGTCCATGTTTTTAAATTTTATTTTATGGTAAAGATGCTGCTGTGCAGAGAGGTTGCAGTTACATGAGTAAGGCAATAAGTACCCTCTCCTTTGTTGTTTTCCCGTTATCTCTTCCCTCCCCCACCTCCCTCATGGTGAAGGCCTGAGATGCCTGTCATGCCCAAGGCCCATTAAACTACACCACTTTCAGCTGTAGCCCTAACTCCAGCCTTGACATTTTTTAAATGCAGGTTTGTTTGTTTTTGATTATTTCTGTGAATACTCTTACCAGAAACCACACAGAAGTTTCTTGACTTACTTTCCCTCAGAATTTTCCAGCGTGGTGATGGTGTGAAAGCAATGCCTACTCACCAACACCATCCATTTAGATGTTGATTGTTCACTCCTGGGCTATGAGGCTACTGGTAGGTTGCTAGCTTGCTAAGCAGGGCAGAAGCCGTAACTACAGTCAGGCCTGGGCTTCCTAGCAAAACAACCTACACTCTCCATTGCACTGTGTGGCTTGCTAGGATTTCCCCCTAGGCCAATTGCCTTAAATTCATTTTACACTTAAAATCTGTTTAATTTATATTGACGTAGGCTTATTTTTTAAAAAGGATGTTTTTGTTGTTGTTTGCTTGCTTTGGTTAGGGTTCTTCAGAGAAATAGAGCTGCATGGATATATGTGGATGAGGAGAAGTGTCAGGAGAATGGGCTGGAGTGACTCTGGAGGCAGGGAGATCTGATGATGCTGGAGAATGAGAGGAGCTCTGGTCATCCTTCAGTTCAAGCCTAAAGCCTGAGAACCAGGAGAGTCTATCAGAAACAAAAAGCCAGAGAGCTCTAGTGTGTGTCTGTGGAGGAAAGCTGATATAGATGCTCATGTCCAATGTCCTGCCAATAGGAGCGCTGGATTCTGAGGTCAAGAGAAAACGGAGGCTTCAGCTGAAGGAGAGAGTCATCTTCCCTCCTCCTCCTCCTCCTTCTGTTTGGGCACACGTGGGATTGTGTGATGTCCACTCTCACTGGTGAAAGCCAAACCTCGGACTCAATGTTCTAATCCCGATGCTGATTTCTTTAGAAGAGATTCTCGGATGCCCGTATTCCTAGCTATTTGGGAAGCTCAGATTGGGAAGATGCAGGTTCCAGATCAGCCTGGGCAGAAAAATTCACCCGACCTCATCTCAGTGAGGAAGAGGCTAGACATGGTGGTAAAAGAAGCTATAGGGGACATATAAATAGGAGGACTGAGATCCATAGTGACTAGGTGAAACGCTAAACTATTTAGAAAATAATGGACACAGAAAGGATTGTGAGTGACTCAGTGGTAGCCTGAAGCCTAGCAAGCACAAGTCCCTGAGTTCTAAACCCCACTAGTGCCCATAAATATAAATAGAAGATATTTGCAAAATAATAAATGAGTCATTAATTAACTAATTAAGTTTTATTTTGTTTCTGGTCATGGCTGTTGAATTCAGGGCTTGGTCTCTCTGTCACTGAGTCTTTCTGCTCAAGACTTACACTCTACCACTTAAGTCACAGCCCCACTTCTGGCATTTTGGTGGTTAATTGGGGATACCAATCTTACAGCCTTTTCTGCACTGGCTGGCTTCAAACTTTCATTCTCAGTTCTCAACCTCCTATGTAGCTAGGGTTATATATCTGAGCTACAAACAACTGGTGATATTTTTATATTTATTATTTTTTCTTAAATGGTGCACACTGTTTAAGAGATAAGTAAAAAAGATAATAGTTTTCTCCTTTCCTTAAGTGGCTGAGCATGCAAACAGGAAACTCTAGTGCTCTATCATCTTTGTATTCCTGAGAGAAAGTGGCCAGTTTTAATACACACATATGTTTGTCTTAGTCTTACCAATATTTTTTTTTTTTTTGGGTCCAGTCGTGGGGCCTGAACTCTGGGCCTGGGCGCTGTCCCTCAGCTCTTCAGCTCAAGGCTAGCGCTCTACCACTTGAGCCACAGTGCCACTTCTGGCTTTTTTGTTTCTGCTTATGTGGTGCTGAGGAATCGAACCCAGGGCCTCATGCATGCAAGGCAAGCGGTCTACCACTGAGCTACCTTCTCAACGCTTACCAATATTTTTATTAGAATTTTTGCTTCTGTGTTCATAAGGAGCTAAAACCATCCTTTTGTTTTTTTACTGTGTGTGATCCTTGTCTGGGTTAGGATTTAGGATTTCTCTCAACCTCAAGTGAAATCTGGAAATTCAACTCTTCACCCCCACCCCATCCTATTCTCCCCCATCACCATTATTCCACCCAACTGCAATCATTACATTTTATTCCCTTATCCCCTTGAAGTTTTTTCAATTGAATTTTTCTCCTAAAACATGGGTTGCTACACACTTTGAGACTTGCATATGCAAATAATCTCATATGCAATCTAGTTCCGTGGGGTTTTTTTTGAAACCCATTTTACTCTACAGTAATGATTCTTTAATGAAATGCCATGTGCATCACCAGTAGGTGATATGAGAGCATCTCTGTGGATTTAGAATACTGCAGCCCGGGAAGACTGCACACTTCCTATTACCTTCCTTTATCCCAGACATTCCTCCCATAGAGTATCACACATACATCCCAAATAGAGTTCACATTTCTCGGTACTAGTGGAGTTTGAAACGGCTCATTGTGCGGAGACTCCATAGAAAACTCCCATCTGAAAATTCTTTTTCCCATCACAATCATCTTTCTCTCCTCTCTCTTTTTCTCCCTCTCTTGAGCTTCTTTTTTTCTCGTAATTACTTTTCTTTTTTTATTATTAGCCATGGTTTAACAACACCTCTGTGCTTAATGTATGAAGTCAGCTTATTCATACGTGTCTGGAGAGGAACATAATATACAACCTTTAGGATTACCTGTAGCTTCAGGCATGTAATGGAGTAGTAGTTGTACAAAGGGGTTTCAATTCAACATGTCAGGTTGTGAGCACAATGAATCTTCATCGCAGAAATAATCCCAAGTGCAGACTTTCATATATCTCTTGAAACTGTGCTTGACCAAAAGAATAAACTTTCAGGATCAGGAAAGATAAGTCTGAGAACTAGGATGTGAAATTCAAAGGCAGGCATACAAAAACTAGTACTATCCGACTTCATACAAATGTGGACTTTAAACAAATTGATCTAAAATAAAAAGTTAATTTCATAGAAGTTAAGAGCAGAATGGGAGTGACCACACTATGGAAAGGAAGATGGGGAAAGAGATGGGGAGCGGTTAATAGTCAGTAAACTACAGTTAGGAGTTCTGGTATATTACCGCATAGCAGGGTGTCTGTATTTGGTAATGATGCACCACATATTTGAAGAATAAAACTAGGAAAAAAAAGGGGAAAAAAGAAAATCAAAAGCAAAAAGGACAGATGTCAAGATGCATTGCAGTTTTATTTGAAGAAGAAATGAAACTCTTGGATGTGTCGTTTTGATATGGCATATTTTCTTAGATTGGCTCTGAATGAGAAAGGTAATTGGACTGAATTTCTACTCTTCACTAAACAGGAGTTTCAACCCACTGTCACTGGCAATGTGGTGCCACAAAAGCACATCAGTCAAGTTGAGACTCTTTATGTTGCTAGTTTTGACTTTTGCATCATGTCTTGCAATGAGGAGCAAAAAAAAGATACAAAAAAGGATGTGGCCACTGGGGTTTTGGAGAAATTTGTACATTATGTTCATCACATTGCTCCTTAATTCTACACTCCTTGTATGAGGTTTATCAGAGGAATCCATGTTTCTTTTCGTATCAAATAATTATCTCCTAACATCTACTAATATTTGATCCTTTTCTTCTTCTTCTTCATCTTCCTCCTCCTCCTGTTCTTCCTCCTCCTCCTCCTGGTCCTCCTCCTCCTCCTCCTCCTCCTCTTCTTCTACCTCCTCCTTCTGCTCCTCCTCCTTCTGCTTCTCCTTCTCCTGCTCCTCCTCTTCTTCCTCCTCCTCTTTCTCCTTTGCATAATTTGCACCGGGAGGAGAAATACCCAAAGGAGTAATTTATGGGAATGGTGCTAATCTAGTGAAATCGGTTAATTTCAGGTTTAGTATGTGGATACCTTTATTTGTTTTAGTATTCACACTGGAAGGTGAATTGTGTAAGATGGATTGCTAAATTATTTAAGATAAATTGTTAAATTTGTTTTATATTAGCTTATATTATTTTACAAAGGCTAGGTTAGATTATAAGTACATTCTCCAGTGTGACAGCAATATTTCAGCTCCAGTATGATATACAAATTCTGTTTGGTTTTGTTTTTTACTCTTTTCCCGAATGAAACACAACTAAGTTCAAAAGTAATTATTTTTTTATTTCAACTCTATAAAGTATACAACAGGCACTCGGCAATTACAGCTGCAGGAAAAATACAGAGCAAATCAAAGCAGGTTAAGTTTATGAAAAAGTTCTTCATCTACATGTAAAGAGTGCAAGTGGTCAAGGACCATTTGATGACGGTTTGTTGCATTCTGACTAACAAAAGACTCTTTCATGTAGAACAAGTGGGAAGAGGACAGTCAAATAAACTATAGCTGTAAGAATACAAAAGAACTCACCATTTGTAAAAACATTATACATTGAAAATTAATTTGATTGATGGTGCTTAAAAGAAATATCCCTTTACTCAGAAAGCCCAAACCTCTGAGTTATGGTCAAGGTCCCAGAGCTCTGTCTGTTGACACAGGAGCAGATAATGAGGAGAGCTAACAACATACTTTCAAAGTTTTGCTTTCTAAGTCTGTTGGATATTTGCTTCATAGCTGATTTGCATATACAAGCACTCAGAGAAAGCGTCCTGTTTTGTTGAGAGGTGCACCAGGGTACTTTTTCATCATTGGTTTCATAACGAGGTGTGGTGCGCAGTCATTTCCAATTTTTTTACTTATTTTTTTAACTCTTTTGGGTTGGACCATGGTTCATGGAGTGAACACAATGAGAAATGTGAGGATTTGACTGCACAAATTTGTTTTATTTTACTGACTCGGCACAACTTAGCAAAACAGGAATACCTGTATACAGACTGATAGTATGTCATGTATTAAGTTCACCTGCACATACATTTATACATTTCACAGAAATGATGCTGTATCTCATGAACAGATACACAGCTCTGGAACATTTAACAGAAATAAGGGAACAACTTCATCATTTCTGTAATTCATCAATGTTATATAATAAAGGTTTATAAATTGTTAGCAGAAAGAACTGTAAAACGCAGCAAGCTAAGAAAGGACAACATTTTGAGGTGTGTTTGTCTTTGTCATGCAGCATAACACCAAATTTGTTTTTTTATAAGATGCCATGAATTTAAGGCACTTGCAACAATGCCAGATAGCCAGGTCATGTTCTAAACTATGGGACAGATGAGTGACAGTACCGTTGACATAATTTTCAATAATACTGACAAATATGACATTAATTCAAGTCTACTTGGACCTAAACCATTATTCAATAAAATAAAAAGAAATAATAATGCTGTGAAACACTAAAAAAAAGTTATATGTACCACAAAATATCACACAAAAATATCTATTTACATAAATATTTGTCTGTGGTCCTATCGTGAAAGAAAACATTTTTATGGATAATGCACAGATCATCTGTTTTCTGAATTCAGTTCTAACATCCTTGCCTTCAATCTCATAGATGACTTTTAAGTTCATCATCAGTTCAGTTATTTAGAAATGAAACTACAAGAATTCTATAGTTGAATTTATATATTATTTCACATGTGTCTGTCACATGTTTCTTCCATCATTGAAAAAATATAATTGAAAGAATACAATCAAAATAAATTTGTTTTAAATGCTACATGGATCTGATACATCTCTTAATAACAAAAAAGAAACCTAAAAAAATCAATTATAACAATTTCCATAAACCATTTTCTCTAATGAATTCAATTTATTTCAAACATAATGGCATTCCTTCCCTTGGCAGTTTTCAGTTTCTTTGTGAGTCAAGACACACAGAAAGCCCCATTTCCCATACTCAAAATATTAACAATTAAGTCAGTTAACAAATCAAACAGGTTGGCACTGTTCTAACTTACCCAGATTTTTTTCATGTAATAAAAAAGAGGAGATGTGAAAATTTCAGAACTAAAGTAGATGCATTTTGTGAAGCTGACCATGAAGTATAGCCCTAGTGTCTTCATTTAGACGAGATTTAAATCCTTAAAACTAAGTATTGAATACCAGGTGAATGTTTTCTGTTAGCAGTTCTTGGAAATTATAGCTCACCTTTGTTTTATTTTGGTGATTGCTTTCAACAATCTAATGCAATGATGTGAAATGAATAGGGATTCAGTTCTAAGTGGGAAAACAACCTATAATTATAATGTGCTGAATGCCACTTCTCACTTTCCATTGTGCTTACACATATGTTGTCTTAGACTTGAACCATAGGTCCCAAATCCTCTGTTACCGACCACTTCTGGGGCTGTTGAGATTTTTTTTTTAATTGTAGAAGTAGATTCACTTTGCTAATGACAAGGAAAATAAATGCTATATTCTACCAAGCCTTTAGCATGGTTAAATTACACTAGCTTTCAACAAAAGTCACTGACATTGATGCTAAAGTTGAAATGATCTATTTTAAAGCTCAGTTAAAAGAAACAACACTTCTGAAATAACATCTATCCTAGCTAGCTTTTAAGTAGATGTTTTTCACTTTATATTCTAAGTCTATAGTGATCAGCAGATGTCTGGGAATAGACTGATTTTGAAAAATTGCTTGAAAAGGAGGGAAAATGCCAATAATACAATAAATAACTTAGATCAAAGTCTTATTTTTTCTAATTATAATGCTTTTATTAGTTTCTAATTATTTACCTTTAGTATAATAGGTCATCGGCCTATTATATTTTGAAAATATATTCTAAAGTACTTTTGAATATGAAAAATGTAGTCAAAACTCATAATATTTGCTTTCTGGGCTGGGACATCATAATCTAATTGGACATACTTTATAGAATTTTCTACACTGACCAAACCTACACTTAGACAAAAAACAAGCAAAACATACTTAGACCAAAAAGCAAATATATATTTCTTAGGCCAAATTAACACAAATATCTACACCAGGATGACAGCTTGGATGGTAATACATATCTCTGTGTAAGTATAATGTATCTGCCTGAAAGAAGCTTCTGCTACATAGGACAACTAATCACAGTAACATGGCCAGGTATCACCAGACTTAATTTGTTGATTCTTTTTCTCACATGAAAACATTTGATATTAAAAATCCAAGCTTTTCTAGCTAACAAGAAACTTCAGGATTGCAATTATTTCTGGCTTATTTAGCTTTTATTTTTAGGAAATCCCTTTCCTGTTTTCCTCTCTAAACTCTTCCTATTTTGACAAATTCTGACTACTTCATCAAAAGATAATCAGTACCTGGTTCTTGTCATGTTCTGTGACCTTACATAAGCAAAGTTCCTGGTTCTAGAAAATCTTCATATCTTTGACTCTGTATTTATTTTCTATTTCTTTCTGATGTTTGTTTCTTTTAGTTCAGGCCTAAGACAAGGAGCTAGTTCATTCATATATATATCATATATATAATATCATATGTAAATATCATATATTATATATGATATATATCACCTTTCTCTCTCAGACCCAGACTATGTTGTATAAGTGAAATCTGACAGAAATTTGATTTAATAAATTTAGTGAAAATGCTTGCATCTCTGGCTAGACATGTAATGATTAGAATTTCTGTTGTCTGTTCAGACATTGACATTACAGATGAAAGATATACATAGCACCTATAGAGTTTTTTTATTTTTTATTTTTTGGATGGACCTTAATGCCTTCCACCCTATCCCTCCCCTACCCCAAGGGTTCATTTTTATAAAAGGGAATATTTGAAGCCCCAGTTTGAGGGTATGTTAGGTAATAAATAAAAACCAATTTGCTGCTACTCATTTCCAGGACCCTCTTTAAGCACTATATGTATATATATATATATTTAAATATGAAATGATTTTGTGAATTGTTTTTTCCTCCCATTCTGTCATGCCAATTTATCAAAAAGGAACAAACAAATACCATGCATTTTTTTCAATCTTCGGAAAACACACATGACTCTGCTACAGAAAGGGCTCAGCAATCCCATAGCAGTTGTGCTTTTATCATACCAATTTTTAAAAAATCTGTCAGAAAGAAAAGATAACATTCAGTCTTGTCATCAGCACTGCTGGGAAATAAAATAGTGAAACTTCTAGCACTGGTTTGACATGAATGCTGTGACCCACAGATATGTGGTCTTCTGTGTACAGTATACCTACTGGCTCACAGTAACAGATTTCACAACCTTCATTTGAAAACAGGGAATAAGCCCAGGATCTGTACCCTAGTCATTTCCCCTACTCAATATATTATTCTTTCATCCTCTTGATAACTCTAGCAGGGTATAGACTCCTCTACTAAGTTGAAGTGTCTCCTACAGTCTTTCAAATTATAATCAGAGCAAAGCAAGATCATTGCAACAACAGAAAAAAACAACATCTCTTTACTGGTGAAAGACTTTGCTTCAGGACCACCATGTCAACTGCTATGTTAGATTCAAAACAGAAAACATGTAAAGAGCACTATTGTCATCTAAGCAATAAGTCCTAATGCCACTGTAGTTACTGGAGCAGCATCGATCAAAGGCATCATGGTGACCCCGAGCACTAATCTTCTCTCTTTCCCTCGTGTTTGCTGGCAGCTGTGTCTCAGAAAAAGCTGTCTTCAGCAAGGCAGAAGCAGGTAAGAGAAATGCATTAGAAGTCTATATCCCAGCCCGAGTTGTCATCAGGGGGCGGTTCGTCGCTGTCCTCAGGGAAACTGTCGAAATTGCTTGTGTCTGTGGGTGATGCCACCTGCAACAGGAGAGACTGCATAGTCCAAAGCCTCTCACGTTTTCAAAATTCCAAGTGACAATATTATTTAATATTGTATTTAATACGGTAGTTCCTAAATGTATGTGTTTGTTTAATATGGAAAAGATTAAAATGGAGTACTAAATATTGTGTCATAGACATATCCATTGCATGATGTTTAAATCAGATTAAACAAATGTGTCTTTAACTATTTATTATTTATGATAAAAATAATTTAATTTTTCCTCTAGCCTTTTGAAATATACAGTACATTATCATTCTCTTTGACTAATGAAAACGTAACAACCATGGGTCAGTCTTTGCCCCTGCCCTTCTCAGCTCCAGGCCTTTGATAACTACCATGCTACTCTCAACTTATGTGAGATGAACTCTTTTAGATGTTACATAGGAGCATGATTATGCATTATGATTATGCATTATGACATTATGCAGGCTGCCTCTGCACCTGACTTAGTGCACTTAGCATAACGACCTCAATTTCCAACCATGGTGTTGCAAATTACTGGAATTCATTGTTTTTACAGTTTTCTGTGGTTTCTGTGTATCTATCCATCTCTTCTCTCTCTCTCTCTCCCTCTCTCTCTCTCTCTCTCTCTATCTATCTATCTACCTATCTACCTATCATCTATATCACATTATCCTTTTTCATCAATAATTTTAAGAATAATTTTATTCACTTTCTGGCCTTCTAGTATGTACTAAGCACAGTGAGTGACTATTGATTTTTTTTAAAAAAGGAAATGGCTCTTACCCTCAAATATTTATATTATAATAGATAATACATTGTATGGCTAAACCAAGCACAGAAATCTATTTGAAATTATGAATTTTGGCTAGTGCTTTGGAAAAATAAAAAAATGCCACAAGAGCAAGTGGTCACAAAAAGTCCATTTGGAAAAGTTCAAGATGTGTAGGGCACACACCCATGCCCTGAGAGAGAGCCACATTATGAAATAATGAAGAGGACAACATCACTCCTGGCTAAACAAGGAGGCAACTGGTATGAGTAGAGCCTGGAGAAATAGAGCCACGTTATATAGATACTTTGTGTGCAGCCTCGAAGGACAATAGAATCCATACTTGAACAACACTTACAAATTTACCAGCTGAATTCCAATTTGCAGAGATCAGTGAAAACCTGCCTAATATTACTAGTACATACTTGACCCTGGTAAAGCCTGGTTGGATAATTTAATACTCACATCTCCCTGCTTCTTCCTCTGCTCTTGCTCTAAAATAAAGCGTTTCAAATGCAGTATATTGCATTCAACAGATACAGTGTTGGTAAAAATAAAATCTAAATGAAAACCATTGAAACCTATTTCAGATTAGTAGAGGTATGCAGTCTGCTTATCTAATTTAACAACAAGACGAACATCAAGGAATCTGCTTGTTAGGTAAAAGGGCATCTTCTGGTAAGAAGCGTATTCATTGAAGGATAAACATCCAGTCGAACTGGAGGCAGTCAGTAGGAACTAAGAGGTATCAGTGAAACAGCATGGGCTAAACAGTGATTGTTGTTAAAACAGTTGCAAAATCACTATACCCTTCTGCATATACTTAATGTTTATCATAATGGAAGTTAATTGACTCATCAGTAAAGGAAACTTGAATTAAAATTGGAAAAATACTATAAGAGCAAACAGATACATAAGTCATCCTTTAAATCAATATATCTATGCTTGTACTTTAGGATATGTTGAAATTTTAATACACTACTTTATAGAATGTGTTTAACCTGATCATAGGATGGATGTTTAAAAATAACAAGTATTTGTTGATTGACAAACTCTATCAAGTATGTCCTAGAATTCAGAGCTGGAATGTATACTTACACTTGGTATGATGGGAGGTGTCAAAGTACCTTTCCTTAAGCCTTCCCAATTAAAGCCTTCAAACCATCTAGGAGAGAAAAAATATATAGGAAATTCAAGGTGGTTAATCCCAGTTGTAATCTTCTTATTACAACGAGTTGGGTATGTATAAAGGCTAGATAGTAGTTAGGTAAACATTTACATGTGACAAAAATATGTTCACCCTTTAACTGTAGAGTTTGACTTTTTCTTAAAGTGCGTATCTTTAGAAATGTAGTTGTCAGATTTAAACACCAACTACCATGCAAATTCATTTCCTATAATTTCAGTTAGGATGTCTGTGTAACCTTGTCCCTCTGCAATTATTATAAGCAAATACATGTGATAATATGCTTACCCTATGTCCTGTGTGTCACTTTACAGAGATAGAACTTGTGGGGAGGAATCAGGGCAGAAATTAATAATCCATCTTTGCTACTGGGTCAGTACTCAGCTTTGACTAATTTGAACTTTCACATCACAATGTTTGGCTCTTGTTATTCCACTTTACTCATTTACTGTCTTTTTCAATAGGAAGAAGTGTACTAAGTAAATTATTTTTCTGTAAAAATGAGAACCACATGCTGTAACACTAGGAATTGTATGATTTTTGTCTGTGGAGTATTTCAGCATTAACAAATACTTATACCAATTTCTTAGAAGTCGTACAAAATCACAGCTATCTCAGTAAACAAGCTTATTTGATAAGGATGCAGGTTTTCTGGGAGCATTACAGAAGCAGATGGAAAGAGAGGAAAAATAAACAATTTGTGTTGGCTTAGCTTTAGAAACTCTAACCAATGTATCTAATGGTGAAGATGCTGGAGTTTGTTGTTGTTTTGGTTCATTTTGTTTTTAAACTTCTTGTCCTTTTGTTCTATCACCTTGCTTAATGACAGGAGGTGATATGAAACTATGTTTTTAATTTAGTAGAAAAATGTAGAATGTCAGATTTTTTTCTGTTATGCTATTAAAGAATAGTTTCAAATTTTTAAATGCAAATTTTCTTTTTAAAAAAAATTTAAAGTAAGTTTTTTATTGTGAAAATACTGTACAGAGGGGTTACAATCACATGAGCAAGGTAATGAGTACATTTCTTATCAAGCATTTTTGCCTCCTCCTTTGTTTTTCCCCTACCAGCCCTTCCCTCCCATCTCCACAACTACACTCCTCCTCCCCTCCCCCCTCTCCCTCCTCCCCCCTCCTCCGCCCCCCTGCCTAAATTGTAAAGTTCATTTTTTGACATAACATCTTTTTCATCTCATTGTTGCAATGGGTCCACCTGTATCCCTATTTAAACAATATTTTTTCCCTTCCACTGGGTCAGAGGGAAGAAAATGTCAGTGCCCAGGGGCTAGGAAAAAGTGCATTTGTTGTTTGGAAAGTCATAAAGTAGTAAAATAGTTAGATACACTAAAATCAAGCTCTATACACATTGGCAGTTCTTGGTGAAATAAGTTTGTCTACATTCTCACTTTAAATGTTACTGCAAAATTATTGCATTATGTATATGATTATGAATGTATTGTATTATGTATATACCAATAACTCATTTGTCTACATTCTTTCTCTCTTTGGATATCACTGTAGGATTATTTTATGTCGACACTAGAAAACATCACCCTGGGGAAATTCTCAACAGGTTTTCTGAACTCTGAAATAGAAAAGCAAAGAACACTTACTTGTGCTTTTGAATGTCTTTTACTCCATTTTTCAAATTTCCTAATCTTTCAGATGGGTTGTCCCTAAAAATAAAATAATGGTTTTGTTAAGTAATCTATTTTTTCACACTGTGATACTTTCAAATATAATGTGCTTGAATAAGGTGTGGTGGTTCACCCCTGTAATCTCAACAACCAAGCAGGAGAATGGTTAAGATCAGGGCTAGTGTGGACTGTAGAGTGAAATCCTATCTCAAAAACAAACCAATGATATAAGAAAATGTGGTTGAAACACTAACCTGCATAGTTTTTTAATTAAATTAGCAGCATTTTTGGCAATCTTCTTTGGAAATTCTATCATATCAATCCCTCTCAGGATGATGTTATAGGTTTTCATAGGATCTGGGCCTGAGAAAGGTGGGCTGCAAAATTGAGAGACATAAGATGTATCATGCTTGTTAGGAAATGTACTCAGTACCTTACTCATGTAACTGTAACCCCTCTATACAGTATTTTTACAATAAAAAATGTATTAAATTTTTAAAAATGTATCATTTTTGCTTTCTCAAAAAGAATACTCTTGCTGTATTAAGTTCTACAATTCTTATGCAGGGCCCCAAATTAATTAAACAAATGGAATACAATGTGAATAATATTAAAACAACCTGGCCATTCACTTAGTGAAACCATCAGTGCATGAAATATAAATGCTGTTTCCCTTCCTTCCTTTAGTGCAAGTGCCTGACCCCTCTTGCTGTTCTTATTTATTCAAGTGCTTTATCTTCTGGTTTTCCTCACACAAACTGGCGCACTGATTATACATGGGATGAAGTATAAAGTCATTAAGAGGAGTCACCGGAGAATTAAGGATACGACCTCTCCGCATGTCACTGACACCATTACTGCAGGCAGGCACAGAAGTACCGTCCATCTCAGGGAATTATTTTGCCTAGAGATTCATCCCATATTTATCTGACTAAAGACTCATTTCATCAAGTCTCCATTTAAATGTAGCACTGCTTCCTCCCAAGGCCTACTTGGATAACCTACATCCACCAAAAGTGTCTGATAATCTGATCTAAAACAGGAAAGATTCAGTTTTCTGTTCTTTCCATGCCTCCTGGACAAACCTGACCTTCTTCTGAAATGACTCCTTTACTTATTTTCCTCAGCACCTGTCATGTGGGTATGTTAGTTTTTCTTTTATATTGGTCCTTCAGGAGTTTGGAGTGTATCTTATACCTTATGCCTCCTTTAGCAGTTATGAATTATGTATTACAATCTTCAGCAAAATGCATCCATCTAGATATAAGATTCTCTTACTCCCATGGAGAGTTGATTTAGACTTGTTTATATGATTACTATTTCCCTTGCTCCATTGCCAGCCAAATGACTACCATCAAAAGTCTCATGGAGCTGGGCACCGGTGGCTGACGCCTGTAATCCTGGCTACTCAGGAGTCTAAGAGCTGAGGATCATGTTTCAAAGACAGCCTGCAGCCTGGGCAGGAAAGTCTGTGAGACTCTTATCTCCAATAAACCACTAGAAAACCAGAAGTGGCATTGTGGCTCAAGTGGTAGAGTGCTAGCCTTGAGCTGAAGAGCTGAGGGATAGCACCCCGGTCCAGAGTTCAAGCCCTATGACCGACAAAAACAAAAAGTCTCATATAGGCTGGGAACGTGGCTTAGTGGTAGAGTGCTTGCCTAGCTCTCATGAAGCCCTGAGTCCGATTTCCCAATACCACATAAACAGAAAAAGCCAGAAGTGGCACTGTGGCTCAAGTGGTACAATGCTAGCCTTGAGCAAAAGAAGCTAAGGGACAGTGCCCAGGCCCTGTGTTCAGGCTCCGTGACTGGGAAAAAAAGGTCTCATGGAAAGGGATTGAGTCCTTCATATAATCATCACTCTACATAAAAAATTAGTAAGAACAAAATTACAAGTTAGCAATGAGTTGCTTGCTCGCATATAACTTGTGTCAGCTCTTGTGTCATGAATTCATGATCATTTAAGTAACTAATTGAAACATGGTAACAGAGAGTCATATACTTTAAGTTGGTCTAAATGGAGTGCAGAGGCAGGGGTGTGTAGCTATTTCTGATCCATTTTTATTGAGCTCTTCCCTATAAATGTCCATACCTGCCAGTCAGAAGTTCATACATTAGAATTCCCAGTGACCAGTAGTCAGCTGAAATGTCATGACCTTTGTTGAGGATGATCTCTGGGGCTACATATTCTGGAGTTCCACAGAAAGTCCATGTTTTCTTTCCAAATCCTATTTTCTTTGCAAAGCCAAAGTCAACCTTGCGAAAGAAAAAAGTAAGATATTTCAGCCATTTATATTGTACATCAATAAGCTGTGGAGCAGTAAGTTATTTTGCTGAATGACACTGGCAATGATAAACACTAAAAATATAAACATGGGTAGAAATAATGACTATCTATGGTGGGAAAGAAATCATATATTGCAAGCATTTTAGATGAAATTTACATTATTACAAAGACAAGCAAATCATTCTCTGGATAAACACTTTGCTTTCTCTACTTTGATGACATGGAGGTTTATAGGGCAAAGCTTAGGAGACTAGGTAGGCCAACAACATCATTCTCAGAATAGACAAAATTACTGCTGTAAATCGGAAGCTAGCTTTTCCTCTACTGTTAATTATTTGAGAAATCCCTTTGTTGTGAGCAGAGGTGAAGAACTCATGTATGTGACTAACAACTCTGCTCTTGGTGCATATGAGCAGATAAAATCGAAACTTGCCCTAATTTTTCTAGGAATCTTCTGAAGGAAGAACTGCAAATTCAAACACAGGATTTCTTTCCTAAAGCAAATTGATTTAGATATTAATACTAGCCTCCATAGATTTAATTTTTCTAACAATCATATGCTGAATACAAAATCACAGAAAGGGCAAGGCACCAATAGCTGACAAGTGTAATCCCAGCTTCTCAGGAGGCTGAGATCTGAGGATCACAGTTCAAAGCCAGCCCAGGCAGGAAAGTTCACAAGACTCTTATTTCCAATAAACTACTAAAAATAAATAAAAGTTTTAAAAAGCTGGAAGTAGAGCTGTGGCTCAAATGGTTGGACAATCTTCTTGAGCAAAAAAGCATAGAGACAGCACTCAGGCCCTGAGTTGTAGCCCCATGATTGGCACCAAAAAAAAAAAAAAAAACACACACACACAAAATTTAAAAAATAAAATCATTTACTGATAGATACAAAGTCTATAAAAAACTGGGCACTATTAAATGTGTTTTACTATTTACTATATGTAAATCTTCAGCTCTTTGGATTGATTACTATAAATAATTTTATTTATAATATAGAAAACTAAAAAATAATACTGAGCATATAATATATACTCATTGCCTTGGATAGCAAAGGCTGGTTGAACATATAATTTCTACTAGTACTTCTAGGTCCATGAACACATGCCAGCAAGGATATTTTCTAATGCTCATTAGAAAGTGTATTTTGTCAGAGTATTATTAACACAAACCTTTTACTTAGATTCTCATAATATTTGCATTATTTCTTAAAACCTATTGTAAGAACAGTTATCCCATTAAAATGAAAAGAAAAAGCTTGCTTTCAATGTTAGCAAATGAGCACAGCTTTGCAAACAAACGCTTTAAACCTGCAGCACAGAAACCACGTGTGACAGACACTGACCAGTTTGGCGTAGCCTCGGTGATCTAGAATGAGATTTTCTGGCTTAAGGTCCCTGTAAATGATTCCTTTGGAATGCAGATAGGCAAATGCTTCTACCACACAAGCTGTGTAAAATCTGGTTGTAGAATCTTCAAAAGAACCTCTGAAATACAGACAACAGAATGCAAACAGTATGAGTAATTTCTCTAATTAGGCTGATTTTTATTTTGTCATTTCACTAAATACTCATGTCAAAATTACTTTTGATACCAGAGTCCAACAGCTTAGTGTGACATGATTGCCATTCCACTTGGGTTTAAAAAAAAAAAATCTGAGGATCAAATCAAGGACCTCTCTGCATTGGTGAGTGGGGCAGTTAAATCTTACTTCCTGAAAGGGGTCAGGAGGAGTTCTATAACAGACCAAGATTCACAGACTTGGTAGCTTCCTCTCAACAGCCCACTAGGATATAAAATGGCAAAGATCTCAAAGACAGAGGGTGAGAGTATGATAGAGAGTTCTATTTTAGAGACTGTCTACTAAGAATTTGCTTTTTAAAGGAAAAGCTTCCAAATTTATTCTTATTTTTTAGATATGGTTTTTGAAAATGCAAACACAAAGCTATCATTCCCAAAGAAGCAACAAACATTTCCAGCTAGGTATTCATCCATTTTGAGACTTTTGTCATAAAGCCAATATCTATTTCCTCATTATCACCATCTCAGAAGCAAGAAGAGATAACACTAAAAGATGATTAGAAGAAGGTAATTGGGAAGAAATATTAATTTGATGGTGATATTTCACAAGAAAGTTCTCTTTCTATCCTTCTGCCTCTGTCTCTATCTTCATTTATACATCTGTATATGTTGAGTTAATGAAGTACCAGTGAAGAAAATGAACTTGGCATCAAAAATGAAATGCTACCACAGAACCCTCTAGCCTTGTTTTATGCACATGACTCCTTAGAAAAAACCTGTGTTCATTCTTCTTTTTCAATTAATAAATTCAATCTAATAATGTTATTATTTAGACCATTAGCATGAATCAGCTCGTGGGGTGGCTGAGAGGGAGTAGGGCTGGAGAGCGTGAGAGTTTTAAATATTAGTTTGCAACAAACAATAGCCCCACAAGTTCGTGCTCATAGGAGCCCCTGATGCCTGCTGGCCTTTGGGTGACATTTACCCATTTTTCAAATTTGAACAGTGATGTTTAACAAACTGAATGATGGAATATGGCCACATCTTTACCAAATATGGCAGAAAATCTTAGGCCACTATTACCACCTCACAGGTAATTTTTCAGAATATTGTGTTTCAGAAAAGTGTAATCTTTATTTCAATGACCAATGTCCCTGTACATTGTCACTAACATAACTAGCAATTCCCAAAAGAATTATTGTTCTTTTGAAACCCGGTTCTAAGAACGATGGTATTTACTCCTCTAAGTACTGAAATTTTAGCTTCTCTGGTGCTACGCCTACACTGAAGTTTGGAGAGCACTGCAATATTGGTTGTCATTCCTCCAGAAGATACCTAGGGGCCAGGCAAGATGGCTGCTGCCTGTCATCCTAGCTACCTGGGACATGGAGATTGGGCAGGTAACAGTTTGAAGTTAGTTCAAGAGAAAAAGATTTTGAGGCTTCATCTCAACCAATAAAAGCTGGGTTATATGGGGTGCACCTATCATTCCAGCTACCTGGAAAACATAGCTAGAAAGATTATAGTCCAGGCTACTCCAGGCATAAACTTGAGATCTAAGTGTGGAGGTTCCTGAAAAAGACTCCACATAGAGCTCCCCTATGACCCTCCTATGACTTCTGAGCATTTACCCAAATGACCACAAACAAGGCCATACTAAAGCTACCAGCACAACTATGTTGATCGCAGCATCATTCACCATAGCTAAGATATGGAACCAACCCAGACCCCCCTCAGTAGATGAATGGATCAAGAAAATGTGATGTGATGTGTGTGTGTGTGTGTGTGTGTGTGTGTGTGTGTGTGTGTGTGTGTGTGTGTGTAATGGAATTCTATGCTTCCATCAGAAAGACTGGCATCACCCCATTTGTAAGGAAATGGAAAGACTTGGACAAAATCATTTTAAGTGAAGTAAGCCAGATCCAAAGAAACATAGAGGTCCCATGGTCTCCCTCATTTATAATAACTAGTATATGTCTAGGATAGTCCTAGCAGATGAGCAGAATAGCTCAATAGCTTTGTACATGTGACCATATAAGATGATGCTAAGCGAAATGAACTCCAAGACATAGAAACAAGAAGTTTTTCTTAGACCTTGTTGTTTTTTGGGTTTTTTTTTTAATTTAAGTTTTTTTTTGGCCGGTCGTGGGGCTTGGGCGCTGTCCCTCAGCTCTTCAGCTCAAGGCGAGCACTCTACAACTCGAGCCACAGCACCACTTCCAGTTTTCTAGTGGTTTATTGGAGATAAGAGTCTCACGGAATTTCCTGCCCAGGCTGGCTTTGAACTGCGATCCTCAGATTTCAGCCTCCTCAGTAGCTAGGATTACAGGCCTGAGCCACCGGTGCCCAGCTGTTGTTGTTTTTAAGGTACTATGTGATTTATTTTTGCTTTTGTGGGGTTTTTTCCCTATGGTTTATCACTTGTTGTCACTGTATTTGATTTAGGTGCCCTGAGTATTATATATATATTTATCTGAATTAGGGAAGGGAACAGGAACAAGGAAATTGGGAGACAAAGGGTGAAGCAATGTAACAATGATACAAGACAATGTTGGAAATGAACTGTACAACTTGGTGGTGGTGGTGGGGATTTGGGAAGGGGGTAAAAGTGGAAGAAAAACGAAGGAAGGGATCACAAGTTTGACAAGAAATGTACTCACTTCCTTACTTATTTCAGTGTAACCCCTCTGTACATCACCTTGATAATAAAGTTAAATTAGAAATTAAAAATAAAGAAATAGCTCAAGTAAAACAGTTAAAAATAGCTAAAATAAAAAGGAGCAGGGGCATGACTAAAGTGCTTGTCTAGCAAAAACCAGGGCCTAAGTTCCAATTCCAGTACTTCTAAAGATGTATCTTGAGTATTTCCTCTATATAAATATATCTATAATCAATTACTTTTAAAAGAATCAAAAATTTGTCTCAACCCTGGAATAATCAATATATTATATGCCCAACAATGTTTATCAGCCACACACTGTTTGTCATGGCATATTTGAGATAGTGGATTTAAAAATATACAACTTGATAGCAGGGCAAAACATGGAATTAGGGTGAGTCAATGTGAAAAATTACTAGTAGAATTGGAAGTGACAGTATAAATTTGATCCAAAACAGAAGTGAAAGCTTGTTTGATCAACAGTTTATACAGAGTTGCTTACAGAAATAAATCATTTGCTCTCTATAAAACTTTGAAATAATAAATTGTGCCTTTGCAGTTCTATCATTGCAGAAGAATGAGTAATGGACAGACTCTTGTACCTCCTTTAGAAATGAGTGGATGGTTTAGCTAAATGGCAGTAGATAACAATTTGCTAGAACTAGAAGATTATGAGTATTTATTGATAAGCACATAAAAATTTAATCACAATGATTAATCACCTTGTCATAAACTGAGTCCTGCAATATCACAATGTAAGTAGATAAAAACACTTCTTATCAAACACCACCAGGCAATACTAACTAGGAGCAGCCATCTCAATCTGAAGTATATTACATTCCGTGCAGGCTTATTGAAAATTGTAAAGTTAGTCCAATGGAGGATAAAGCTAAGTAATTATGCAACTTGTTCCTTTTGAAATATTTTCAATCAGTACCATCTTTTGGGGCATCAAAGATGAAATTCAATAATCATCTCCACAAAGTATCTGGAATCAAGGAGAATGGACATAGGAAGTCACCTTTAGTCTTGTCCAGGAAGACACATGGATAGAGAGTGAGATGAATGAAATGGGAAAAGTGCAGTTTTGGAGTAATTATGCATGATACTTAGTAGAGGTATCACAAGGATCCAAGAATCCAACTGTAATCCTAGCTACTCAGAAAGCTGAGATCTGAGGACCCAGGTTTGGAATCAGCCCAAGCAGAAAAGTATATGAAACTCTAAACTCCAGTTAACCAGCAGAAAGTTAGGAAAAACTCTCACCCAAATTGTAGAGCACCAGCCTTGAGTGAAAAAGCTAAGAAGCTAAGAGATGAGACAGTCCCTGAATTCAAGTGTGTGTGTGTGTGTGTGTGTGTGTGTGTGTTCTTGACTTCACGTATTTTCATATATAATGTGGCTAATTTTCCCTGATATATTTTTCCTAACAAGTAATCTCTAAGATTGTTTTTGCCAGTCCTGGGGCTTGAACGCAGGGCCTAGGTGCTGTCCCTGAGCTTCTTTTGCTCAAGGCTAGCACTCTACCACTTGAGCCATAGCACCATTTCTGGCTTTTTCTCTTTATGTCGTACTGAGGAATCAAACCTAGGGCTTCCTGCATGCTAGGCAAAGTCTCTACCATTGAGCCTCCTTCCCAGTCCTTAATCTTTAAGATTTTAGCTCAAATCCAAACAAATTGAAAGCCTGCCAGTGGCTATGTCTGTTAGAACCTGGATACCCAAAGTTGTGTTATAAAATAATATTTATTTTCAAAAATAAGTTGACAAATGATGTCTCTGCGTGACTGATGGCTCAGGGGTGGGCAATGGGTTGAGTTTTTATCACTATTATATTTATACTATTTATATTTATACTATTATAGTTATTGGCCTAGTTCAGAAAATTCACAAAAGTTTAAAAAATATCTATGGAATACAACTGATCCTTTTACTGAGTGGCTTATCATTTGTTTTTCTGTTTAATTTTGGCTGCAAATCTATTTTTAACCACCAAAATATAAGGGAGAGGTTTAAAACATACCGTAAAGAAGATTGAAATATCAGGTCAAAATTGTACAATAGGAGCACATTAGAATCAAAATATAACATAATGTAATCAGATAAATACTGAAAAGTGAGCCCACATCTGTCACAGTAGCCTCAGCCTCCTTTATTATTAATTGACAATAATATAATTGTATGCTAAAATAGCTTAATATAAATGGCAACCTGATTCCTACAGCCAGGAGGATGCATTTCCTTGTATGTGTTTCCTTACCTATAACTTAATAAATCAAACAAAATACTACTGCAATAAAATATAATATGGTTAAAAAATCCATTTGACATTTGTTAAGTAGGGGCATGACCTAGAAAAAGAAAAGTGCAGTAAGAACACCATTAGGAACCTTGTTTTAATAGTTCATAAAGAGCCACTTGTTCTATTCTGGAATCTACAAAGTAACAAATGTTGAAAATACTACATGAAAACATCAGTAGTAGCTATAGCTAGTTTCTTCATTGGAAAGAAAGTATTTAATGAAGGAGAATGCAGCACATAATCATTTTTTTCTTCTAATGGAGGAAAATATTCTAAGGAAAGTTAAAAAGTATATATATAATATTGAGTGATCTGTATAACATTTAGAAGAAATGACCAAAAGATTATTTTTAGGAAATGAAATTGAAATCTCTCTTTCTGCATATGTAAACATTTGTTATAGATATTGTCTTCAGATCTTTTATCTTTCTAGGATAATTTTAAAGATAATTATATAAGCATGAGATAAAAAATTTAGACAAACTACATTTGCTTAACCAAATGAAACAAACACTATCTAGAAATCTTTACTCACCCTGGAAGAGTAGAAACATAAATTTAAATCATATTGCTTACATAAAATACTACAGATAATTGGGTTATTTTATTTCCCTAAGACTAGAAAGGACAAAAAGACAAGGCTGGAAATCTGTTTTAATTTTGGAACCAAAAAACAGCTAAAGAAAATGTTACTTGGAAAAGAAAGTATGAGTGTCAGGGAAGATAGATTGCCCATCTGAAAACTAAATAGAGCAAGTAAACCATGGGTCCAGATGATACCTATAATCCTATTCAAGTTAAATGAATGGATTGAATTCCAGGTATAAAGCTAAACTAAGACTTGTCCATGAAGATTCCTAGGTATGTTTTTGTGTTGGTGCTTGTTTGTTTGTATGTTTTTGTGCCAGTACTAGGGCTTGAACTCATTGTCTGTGTGCTACCTCTTAGGTGTTATTTTGCTAAAAGGCCTGAGCTCTATCAGTTGGGCCATGGCTCTGCTTCTGGCTTTTTGCTGTTTCATTGGAGATAAGAGTCACACAGACTTTCCTGACCCGGAACTGTTGATCCTCAGATCTCAGCCTCCTGAGTAGATAAGATTCTATATCTGAGTGACAGGGATGCAGGGTAGGGGAACTTGAGATAGTGTTTTTATGTAGGAGAGACCCTATATTGATTAGATACTAAGTGAGGTATACATGTATTACAGTAAGTCATTTGGCCATAGTGAATTATGCCTTGTGTTTACTTTGCATTTTGAAAAAAAAATATATATATATATATACATATATATATATATAAGGATTTGTAAGAAGTGAGTGAAATTTTTAGACTTTATAGCAATGTATTTTTCTCATAGAAATGTCTCAAATCTCCTACCTATCCCTGAGAATGGTCCAGAGCTCTCCACCCAGGCACGCTTCCATCAGCATATACAAATACTTGCTGTCCTTAAATGTTCGGTACAGCCTGCAAAGAGTAAACATGAAAGCAGCGTAGTAACATCATTTTACATATTTAAAAAATATTAAAAACCATATTGAATTGAACATTTCAAGATAACTAAAATTAATGTGGTTATGATCAAAGTATATGTAAAGTTTTGAGCGCCCAGACGGCAGTCCTCTCATTTGCCATGCATGAAAGTTTTTGAGAAAAAAAAAAAAATGAAAAAAAAAAAAAATCCGAAGTCACACTAAGGAAAAGAAGCTAATGGTCCATGAGTTAGACCTTCACACCATAGGAAACTAATGACTCACTTGAGATGATTTAATTCAAGTGATCGTGGAGAAGAGAATTTTTTGGGATTCTATCAGTTCTAATTTGTCTGAGGTCCTAAACATTGATTTTCATATTATATGTAATAGATTTTATAATTAAATAAAGTAGACTACATTTTGTGAATATAGATGTGCAATTTTCATGTGCTTCTTATTTAAACCCATTCTATGTTTCAATTTTCACATGCACCACCACCGCCATATTGACCAGAGCTGCTTCTACATGTGAAAAACCATCTGTTATTCTTTCATCAGTGCTTTCAAAATACTGAGGTGGAAGGATTGGCTGTCATTGTGGACGTACTGAAGTCCGAAATGGGTCCTTGCCCTCGGGAGGCAGGCCCTTGACCATTTGGGCCTAGTTCATCCCAACACATTTTCCTCTTAATTTGTTTTTGAGATAGAGTCCCAAGTCTTCCCCTAGTTTAGCCTCAAGCCATGATCATACTATCTCTACCACCTGAGAAGCTGGGATTACAGATATTTGTCAACTGCCATTTTATCTTTTTGAGTCTTCAAAAAGTTGAACTTGAATAGTTTTTGACTTTTTTCTTTCAAGAGCTCTAGAGATTTTTTTTTTACTGAGAAACTTGTTCTCTTTGAAAATATCATAACTTTATTTTTTAAAATCAAACAATACTTTCAAGTTTCTTTTCAGGTCAAACATGTTAGGGGTCAGTGCAAGTGGCAGAGGGTGCTATGGTTGGCCTATCTCACCTGTCACCTATGCCCAGGGTGGAGTCTTTACCTGACAATGAAATCAGAATGGGCCCCCTGCATGATCTGCTTCTCCGAACGGATGTGTTCCTGCTGTCTGGTGTCCACGATGTGGCGTTTCTTGAGAATCTTCATTGCAAATGTTTTGGATTCTTCACTTTTCAACTGGACCTTAAAGATAGGCAGAAAGGACGAGTGAGCAAAAGCTGAGTATAGGTTCAATATAACAGAGCACACTTTCATCCTGAAATTCACAGGTGCAGGACGCACTTAAATGAACTCAAAGTACTACCCAAGTCGCCCATACCATCAATTCTTGCAAGAGCTCCAGAACTGCAAATCCTATAGCTCGTAGCCATCATCCTACCTCATCTCATGGAATCAGATACATTCCAACCAGTTTGATTCAAGTGTGTGAGACAAAGTATGATCATCTGGGTCTTAATGATTCCTTCCTCCTACTTCTACTCTACAAACATTTCAACAGTTACTAAATGATTAACCCTTGTCTATCATTTCTTCTGTTTGCTACCTGTCTTTCCCTTGCCTCCAATTAATAAGAAAAATAGCTAGGTACATATGACCATATAAGATGATGCTAAGTGAAATGAACTCCAAGACATGGACTTAAGAGGTTTTTCCTGTTCGTTGTTGTTTTAATGTATTTTGTGATTTCTTGTTTCTTTTGTATGTTCTTCCCCTTATATTGTCACTGTATTTGATTTTGGCACCCTGGTATTGTATATACATTTATTTGGATTAGGGAAGCAAAGGGGAACAACAGAATGGTGAGACAAAGGATTAGGGGGGACCAACGCAACAGTGATATACACAAGACAATGTGTTGGAAATGATCTGTACAACTTGGGGAGATTAGGGCGAAAGAAAAGTAGGAGAAAATTGAGGGAAGGAGTAACAAGGCTGACAAGAAATGTACTTATTACTTTACTTATGCAACTATAGTCCCTCTGTACATCACCTTGATAATAAAAAAGACCAATTTTTTTCAAGAGATTTTTTTAAAACAATTTTTTTCCACTATCCAAGACAAAGTGTTTTCCTTTGACCTCAACCTTACGCCTTAAGTTATATTATTTGAGGCTGGGCATCAATGGCTCACATCTGTAATTCTAGCTACTTAGGAGGTTAAGATCTGAGAACCATGGTTCAAAACCAGCCAGGACAGGAAAGTCGGTGAGATTCTTATCTCCAATTAACTACCAAAAAGCTGCAAGTTGGGAGCTGGGAAGGTGGCTCAGTGGTAGAGCGCTTGCCTTGCATGCCTGAGGCCCTGGGTTTGATTCCTCAGCACCACATAAGAAAAAAGCCAGAAGTGGCACTGTGGCTTAAGTGGTAGAGCGCTAGCCTTGAGCTGAAGAGCTGAGGAACAGTGCCCAGGCCCAGAGTTCAGGCCCCACGACTGGACCAAAAAAAAAAAAGCTGCAAGTAGGGCTGTGGCTCAATGAGACAATGATAACGTTGAATAATAATAATAATAAAGTTAGCAGGGGGTAACAGTGCAACAAGAAATGTATTCACTACCTTACATATATATCAGTAACCCCTCTGTACATCATCTTGACAATAAAACTAAACTTAAAAAATGTGAACAACAGCGCCCAGGCTCAGAGTTCAAGACCCGGGACTGGCACAACATAAAGTATATTAATTGAAGGACCTCCTTTGAGTCTTAATATTTCCAAGTGGCCCATGCCTCTGAGGAACCTACATGGATCCATTGATTTGCCATATAGACTGAATAGAACTTGGGTCTTCTGAGGGATGACCCACAGACAGCTTGTGTGTTCACTCGGTGAGAAATTTCAACAAGGAGAAAGAAAAAGGGAAGGAATGGGAGTGGAGGGGTGGGGAAGGGAGGAAAGGGAAGAGAGGGGGAGGAGGTAATCAATCACTGATGGTGATATGAAAGAGTTAGCATTCAACACTCTAAAACAGCAGACTCCTCAAGATGACGCCAAAACAGCCCCATTATTCAGATCTAATGAAAGCTTTGGGGAGATAACATGACAAGCTGGTTCTGCTCCTCAGCTGAAGCACAGTGCTCCTCTCCTGAACTGTGAATTATTTGCTGCTTCATCTGCAGGAAGAGCAACATTCTTAAGTGTCTTCTTCATGCACACATGTACAATCTGAGAGGACAGTAATGTCACAAGTTCCTTCTGGAGAATCATGAGGATACTTCAGATAAGCAAGCCTTGATTTGTCCTCACCAATTTCGAATCTGTATGACAGGTTGAAAAAATGTACCTTTGGAGGAACTGCCAGATGATCTCCGTGGACATCTTTAAATGACAGATTAGTGTGATACAAATAAATTCACATCCAAGGTGAAAGCTCACTTCCAAAGCAAACCTGGGTGCTCTAATATAGTTCAATTATTGAAAAGAAATATTCTCTTTATTGGTAACAGATTAATAGTTTTTTTTTTTCTATCAGGGACTGAACTTAAGGCTTCCTGCATGCTAAGTAACTTCTTCACAGCTTGAGCTAAACTCCAGCTCTTCTGTGCTCACTTTGCGTTTGAAATAGACTCTCACTGACCTTGTTCAGGCTGGACAAGAGCTAATGCTGTTCCTCTTCCCTGGATAGTACATGCTCTAAATCTTATATGCATTTCAGTTTAAGGATCTCTTTAGCTCGAAGCACTTCTCTTTAAATAAGTGACATACACTGAGTGCCATACTGTGGCACCCATATGCTCCTATCCTCACACTAGCTCCCTTCCCTGCTACTATTCAAATAGCATTGAAGGAGCTACTTTAAAATTTTCTTATGTTTATACTAGAGGGATTTAACTCCTACCACTCCTAGAAAGGGGAAATACATATGATGTTAATACCCATTTCATGTCATATGAATACTGCTGTGCACTGTGACTTCAGTGTGAAGCATGGTATTGCCATTTGAATTCAAGCACACTTGGATATGACGAATCTTAAGATGTGAACTTCTGTCACGGATTCTGGCCAGCTTTAACTGTCAGCCTCCAAGTGATGCCAACGTAAAACCATACTGAAGAAAATAAGGTGATAGCATCAGCACACAAAAAAGCATAGAAACGTATTTGCTTGGTTAGATTTGTATTCAACTGTGTACTTCTTTGATCTCTGAGAAAGTCAATGCCTTACAAAAACAAGTTTGTTTCCTGATGGACTTACTATTTTCTCTTGCTGGGAGGCAGATTCTGGGCAAGGCAAGGTTAAAATGGCTCAATATCCTTGGCTGGGAGTTGACCTTTAGGTCTTTGAATGAGTCATTCATGGTTCCTTTTACACCACAACTACCTTAGTATCTGGTTTTTTTGTTGTTGTTGTTCTCATTTTGTTTTGTCTGTCATGGGGCCTGAACTCTGGGCTTGAGTGCTGTCCCTCAGCTTGTCAGCTCAAGGCTAGCACTTTACCCCTTGAACCACATCACCACTTCCAGCTTTTCTGCTTATGTGGTACTAAGGAATTGAACCCAGGGCCTCATGCATGCAAGGCAAGCGCTCTACCACTGAGCTACCTTCCCAGCACCTTCTTAGTGTTTTTGAAGAAAACAGCTTCCTGAACTACACTAACTAAATTAACTACTTAAATTCAAGGTTTAAGCCAAGCACCAGAGGAGGCTCATGACTGTAATCCTAGCAACTCAGGAGGCTGAGATCGCAGTTCAAAGCCAACTGGTTCAGGAAACTCCAGGAATGGTCCATGAGTCAAAAGAACACACAGTCGTGAGTGAGCATGCACACACGCACACACGTAAACACACACACACAGACACACACACACGGCTTACATTAACAATATCATGTGGCTCACTGCTGATTCCTGTATAATGTAGATTTGAATGACATTTCTAATGAACCCTGGAAGGTGGCTCTTTTCTGACCTTCACTTAGGTAAGCTAATAGTCCAGAGGAAGAATGAAGCAGTGAACTGAGAAAACCTGATGTCCTAGTCTTCATGTTTCATTAATTGTATAGCCCAGGCTGGGCTCAAAATCACTATGTATCCAAGGTTAACCTTGAGTGCATGTAACCACCACCACTAGCACCCATAAAGTTTGTGATCAGTCATGTTATCTCACTGGATCTGGAGTCAATTCTGAAAACATGGAGCCAAACTACATTGTTCAGCAACGTCAGTGCATACGATTTTTGTAAAGTATGCCATCTATATTATACCTGTGAAAATAGATAAGCTTGTGGTGATCTCTTGGAGAAAGGAGGAAAAAAAGGGAAATAATGTCAAGTAGCGCAACTGTAACTTGAAGAAATGGGACAAGTTCGCAAGGAAAGCATGATCTTTAGTTCACAGTATGTGCATATTTTATTAGGAGGTAGAGGCTGTATTTTCTCTGTATTGTCTCCACTGCATGTAAAAGGGAATCCTTTTCTGCTGTATACTGTTACTAACTTCAAAATACATGGCATTACATAAAAAGAGCAGGAGCTATTCCCGGAGCATGAAAACAGACTGTAAGGCATAAAGCAATATAGGCAGAGTCACCTTCCTCATAATGGCTGCAAAACAAAAGCAGTAATGACTTCCTCCGTTCAAGTGGCACAAACTTCCATTGGGCAATCATATTGCGTAATAAAGCATAATAATGATTTCTTTACTTTGGGCTCTTAGTAATCTGGAAGTAATCTAGGAAACAATCCAGTCACCATCTATGATCTAAGTAACTCATATTAAATACCAATTGGGATGATTTAATGACATGTCCCATAGCATAAAGAAAAGCTTTATAAAAGGAAGAAAGGAGAGATACCAAGATTAAGGGATATCCACCGCCACCAGGTTAATTGTGTCACATTGCTGGAATGTGTCTCAATACACTCCAGTTCTATATGGTTCCTCATCTGGTTCACCAAAATAGTCTAAAGCCCTATGGTAAAACTTCACCCCCCCACCACCCCAGAAAGCAGTAAATAAACCATTGGACTAGAAATACATACGCACTAGATTGTTTCTTCCCCATCATTTTCCATAAATCCACCAAATGCTCAGAAAATTCAGGAAGAAACAATGACACAAAATTACTATACATGGGGCAGGTGGGAATTGAGATTATTAAGATGGATCCATAGAATGAAAACACTGAACATAACCCAAAATTCTACTGAGAGAAAATAAGCACACGAAAAGGCAAATCTTGATATACAC